CAAAAAATTTTATATTTTTTTAAAAAACAGAAAAATTTCATTTTGATCAGATTTCATTTTAATCTGTGACAATAATTATACAATGTATTATATAAAATTGTTTATAATAATTTTGTTACAATATTAACAAATTATTGTAAAATAAAAAAAGAAATTATATAATAAGCTCATATGAGTGCCATCAGGAAAACCTGTTAGGGAGCTAATACTTATTATGTAAAATCAACCCCCTCTAGTTGACAATAACAGGTTCTAAAGTAATTAATCTTTTGACAATTGCAAGCTCTAAAATAACTAATCATATAAAGTTTCATTATAATTACTTTAGAGCATTTTCAACAAAAAAATAAAAAAAGAGGAACCTGTTATTATCAAATAGCTGACGCTAAAGGAGAGTTGATTTTACGTAATAAGTGTCAACTCTCTTATATATTGAGAACTATTTAATTACTAATTATGATACAAAAGATCTAATGTTGCAATATTTATATATTTTAAATAGCAATCAAAAATTTTCTACATGTTTTTTGGATATTGCCAATCAAAAATGTTTAATGGATAAAAAGAGTTGATTCACAATATTTTTACAATCATTCATATTACAACATATGCATTATAAAGTAATTATAACATATAATTTTTTTTTTTTTAAAGGTGAGGCCTTGCTCGTATCTTTATTAATAATTTTTAAAATAGTAACTACATGGAGTTGCTAACTTTTATATACACCAGGATGAATAAAAGTAAAAATTATATGCAAGAATAAGAGCTCAGACTATTTTATCTGTGACTTAAACCTACTAGAGTGGTTAGGGACTCAGATAGATTTGTATAGTTAGAATGTTATTAATAGATGTATGGTATTTAATCCAATGAATAGACCAAAGATTAATTTTAGAGATAGCTTGCCTAATTGGTGGGCAGGTGTTACTGTTTATATGTTATTGGTCTGGTGTATCAATTATAATATATAATATTTTTTATAATATCTACTAAAATAAGAAAAAAGTAATAACCATAATGCCTTCTAAAATAGAAAAAAATATAATGCACCAAAAGTTAAACATCACATTACATATGATCGTACTAGTATTAAATAGACAATAGGATTCTATAATAAATTCTTATATTCTATAAGAAGATAATACAATATCAAGTAATACTATTAAGAATGATAATTAAGAGATACTGTAATATTAATATTTTATTAGAAATAATAATTTAAAGAATAATAATAAAACAAAAGCAGATAATGATTAAATAATACTGATGATAACTTTAAGTTTACATAATAGATTAACAGAGTTGAATAACTAATTGTAAATATTATTTTCTACTATAATTTTTACAAGTTACTAACATAAATAGCAATATTAATTTCTTAAATATTTTAGAATTTAAGTCTTAATAAGCTAAATTGAAGTTACAAATTAATTTAATTTATTAAATTGAGTCATAAAAAAGCAAAAACAAATTTTAAAAGAAAATTCAGATAAATATATACTTAATTGTTTAGTAGTAGTTGAAATAGATATAAAAGAACTATTTTTTTATATATTAAATTTATTGTTTTTATTTTTCAGAAATGTAGGTACTAAAATTTTAATTTTATACTAAAAATCTAATATTTATATAAAATTTGAATGTATATACTATAAAATTAATATATATATTATAAAGTCTTAAAATACTGTTTTTGTATAATTATATATATACAATTTTTTGGTATTTATATAATTTATTTTATTTTTATATAACTAAGCCACTTCTTGTACTATTTTAGTTATAAATAATCAAAAAAATTAACAAATTTACTAGAATTGGATATTGTTATTAAAATAGATAAAGAATTATTAATAAATTATATATATGCAAGAAAATAAAAATTTTATTTACAATAATATAGAACTAAAATCTAATTTATTATAATAGCTTTTTTGGCAGCCTATAAATAATGATAAAAACTAATAACTATATTAATAAAAGTGCATAAATATCAATTTTTATATAAAATATTATTATAAATAATGACAATTACAAGCACTAACTATAATATAATTTTTCTTAATTTATATTTAGTAATATCTAATTTATTCTTATATATTTAGACACTTTTCAAAAAGCAAAAAGGTCTTAAAATTGAATTTATATTTTGATTTTCTTATTTGAGTTATTAGTAATAGTAGCCTTTTTAATTTTTAAAAAATTTATATAGCTACTAAATTATTATTTTTTAAGCTACTATTTAACCAAACTTGATAATTTTTTAATTTCTAAATTAAAATAAAAAGGGGTGATAACTTAGTGAAGTGGTCAAGTTGTTACTCCCAAGTGGCATGTCTAGAGTTTAAATACTGTTGTAGATAATCTTTAAATTTCTATCTGTATTATAGCTATGATCTTCTCTGTTGAAGCTGTGTTATATATAGTAGTTATTAAAGTTGGGGCTAAGTCCTATAACCTGGCATATACCAATTAGATAAATTAGGAGAACCTATAAGATGTTCATATAATGTACAAGTTATATAAAGATATGCAAATCAGCAAAGAGCAGTACAAATCTTAAATAAGTCCTTGTAGCTAGATAAATTCTAAATCTTTGGCAAGATCAATACCTATTTAGCAAGACCTGAGTGAGAAATAGTACAGTTTTAAGTAACTAAGCAAACATTATAAGAGTAGGTGGTTTAGAAGCAGTATAATTTGTTTATAAAGGTATAAAATTTATCTGATAAAGAATTTTCTATAGCTGCTTAAATGCAGTTCAAAGAAAGCTAGATTAGCCATTAAGCAACAGATTAAATATAGAGAATACTAGTGTGAGTATCTTCTTCTCTTTCTATATCTTGTTTATTTAAATTAGTTTTTTAATAGAAAATTAATAAGTGATTTGTTATTTAAAATTGATTATACAAGATATATAAATAGTTAAAAAAGTATCCTTTAGATACAAAAATTATAACTACTATTATATATACAGCAAAATCATTAATAAAAAATAAAATAAAATAAAATAAAAAAATATTAATCAAATTTTGTTTAATAATTGATGAAATATTTTAATAAATTTAAAAAAATTTGTTTAGAAATAATTTGCTTTTTTACTAACACCCTATATAATGCAAATTAAATTTAAAAGTCTGTAAATCTATAATTTTATCTAAAAAATTTTTTATTTGTAAACAAAATCTATTAATATTGTTTAGATTACTTATTATTTCTTTTTTTTTTTTTATTTTTTTTATTTTTTTATTTTTATTTTTATTTTGAATTTGCTGTATACATGATAAGATTAGTTACAGATTTGTATCAAAATGATATTAATTTGAACTATCTATTGTATTTTGTATAACCATCTAAGTGTAGCAAATCACCTCTTAATTTTCTATTTATAAACTAACTTAAGACTAGCTACCATTAGTTAAAGAAAAAGGGAAAGAGGAAGCCCAGTAGTTAAAGTATAAGGGTTAATAAATATGAAAAAATATAAAAGTTTTGATTTTGTTATTTTTGAATAAATGAATCAATATTGTGATTATAGATTGTTGTTGCAGAGGTTCTAGTAATAGTATTTGGTAGAGAGAATTTAATTTGTTTTAATTTAGATGTGATATTTCTTGAGGTTTTCTAGTCATATTAGAATTAGTTTCTAATTTGCCAAATGTTTAGATTAAACCAGGAAAGAAGATTATTAGAGAGGTAGAGGCAAAAGTTGGTAGTATTTTTAGTAAGGATAGATTGAAGTTGGTCAGTGATACAAAAAGGGATTGTTTCTTGTATAAGAAAGAGGAAGTTTTGAGAAGGTGTGTTATGAGTATTTGAGTTTAGTAGTATATTTGTAATTGTTGCTGAGTTTGTATTTTCAATTTTAAGTTCAGTTATTGTTTGGATTATATATTGGTTAAGTATTTGATATAGGTCAAAAAGTGCTTGGTGACAGTTAAATAGGTGTAAAGTATTTTCAAATTGGTTACATTGAGTACAATTAGGAGTTAAATAAAGATGAGGGTAACGAAGGTGAAGGTTAGACATTGTAGGTAGGTTGTTTAGTAATATTTTAATACATAGAGAGAATAAGTTAGGTTTGTAGTTACAGGAATTAATAATAATTGTAAAAGTTTTAATGTTGAATTGAGGAATATTACGAATGTTTTTGAGTTGAAAAAATTTTTAAAGGTTTTAATAAAAATTAAATTTTTTGTAAATTTATGAATTTGTGAAGTAAGTGGAGTATTGTACCATGAAAAAAAAAGGAAATGTTATAAGGTGATCTAAGTTAAGCTCAATAGGTCATCTGTTTGTGCCTCTTTTTGTAAGAATATCAGCATTTCGATTTAAAACATTTTTAGAGTGTGCTTTAACTTTATGTATAGTAAAAGATATATTATTCTTTTGAAGGAGTTTGTTAATAATATATAGATAGTTCTAGTTTTCAGGTTTGATTTGTGTAGAGTGGTAGTAAAGTAAGTTTTTAAGAATTTGGATTGCAAAAGAATTATCACAGTGAATATATATATGTAGATTTTGTGATAAAGAAAGAAGTATAAATATGATAGGTGCTAGTTCAGCTCTTGTGGTGTTGGAAGCATTTGTAATATTAGCAGTGAATTTAATTTTGGTGTTATTTTCTAAGATCCAACCAATCCCAGTTTGAAGATTTGGTGATTGAGTATTTTTAATTGATGTATCTGTATAAAAGTGAAGATTCTCTAGTGGAATTAGTTGTATTTGTTGATAGATATTGATAAGTTCTGTTTGGTATGCTGGGGTAATAATAGAGTTCACTATAAGTTCAATATTTGGGTTTTGTATTTGAATATATGTGTTTTCTGAGGTAATAGATTGGTGCAAGAAATGAGAAATTTGTGATAATGATAATATTTCTTGGTAATCGATTGAGAGTTTGTAGATCTGTTTTTGTTTTTGACTTTTACAAAGAATGTTGACTGTAGATGCAAAAGAAATTGTAGATATTTGTGAAAAAGGTTGAAGGGTTATAATGCCAGGAGACTTTTGAAGAATAAGGTAGTTTTCAAATAAGAGGTTATTTGGTGTTATGAAAATAATTTTTCCTATTTGTAAGTTAGGTGTGGAGGAGAGAATTGTCCAGTTATTTTTTCTAGAAATTGTAGTTGGGGTTGAAATTAATGTTAGTATATTAGTAAATAGATTAATATCATTTAGATGAATTGATGGCCAAACTGAGAGTAAAGAATTGTTGTTTATTAGGTTTTTAATTTGTTTGTACCAAGAGGGAATTGGTCCTCTGGATGATTTATGTGTTCAAAGATATATATTGTTCCATGGTAATAGATATTGATTGTCAAATATAAGAAGTTGTTCAATGTAAAGAATTTGATTATTTTTAAGACTTTGAATAGTTGATAGTTTAGAATTTATAGGGAGAAAATTGTAGATTATATTTTGTTTAAGGTTGTTTGAAAAGTTGTTTATATTATTAATTAGATTGTAAATATTAATATTGTAGTTTGATATATGAGTTAGAAAAGAGAGACTAGTGAAATTTTTCATTTTTTGTTTATGTTGTAGAATAATGTTAGGGGTAATTGTT